GAGGACTCTTTCTTCCTTTGTAATAGGCAGAAGTATAAAAATAACTGAGCACCTGTAAATGGAGTCGTCATTAAGTAACAGGTCACTGTTTCTTTCTACCATGTTATGAGTATAAATCGTACTGTTCTTGAAACATCTGCTTGACAAATCCCTTTAGAGTTACCCTTAGAACATAACTCAGGCACATCCCTGCCCGATAACAAAAATAAACTACTCTACAGCCTAAGGCAACATGACATTTTCCACTAGATATCAATATTTTTCCATCTGACATTTAGTAGATCCTAGGCAACCAAAAAAATACCAGCTGCCTCTGAGGTTGTGATTCATCATTATTGTTCTTATCGCTCCGTATTGTTATAATTCACCTAAGTGACATGAATAGTGTTCATTTGCGCTCTCCTTTTTCTTATATTAGTTCAACATTTTTCTCTGAAGTCCTTTTGTTCACAAATATGCAAGAAAGTAGCCAGGCAAGGGGAAAACCTGGGCAGAGAATTGGAAGCACTTCTCCAGCACCTTCCAAAGTCAGAAATGCTGTCTCTGTGCATAGTTCTTCCACCTATCACAGCACACTGCAACCCAATTTGTATTCATACTCGGGTGATGGGTCCTAAATAGCCAGCACTTTCATACTCCTCTCTGCTATGGAGGGTAGAGATGCTATTCTAAGACTTGAAAGAAAATTCTAGTTATTTTAATGTTTAAATTTGTAAAAGTTTTACCTTATCTTTCCTAATATTTTTCTACTTCAGATCCATCCACTGGGCCTTGTAGAAGTTAACAGATGCCAGGCTAAGAACCCTTAGACCTGCAGGGACAACCTCCATCACTTTCAGTATGACCTGGGAATAAAAGAACTCTCACTATCTCATTACAGAAGTGAAACTTCATAAGATTTATTTAAAATCTCTGAGAGTTTTCTCCAACATTGCTTGTGGGCAAATAATGATTCTCCATCTCTTTATAGTTCAAAAGATGTCTAAGAAAAGGGGATTTTTCTCGTGTAGAGCCAGATAAAGATTTAGTCCTGCTGATACTTTGTCCAGAGTGTTACTCTAGGACATTGAGAGTGCTTTTGTAACTGTGTCCTCAAGCCACGCAAGCCTGGGGAAGGACTTCAAAAGTATGAAGGCTGAAGCAGGCCTCATCATAGCAGCACCCTGGCTCTTCACCGCCTTGGCTCTGGATTGGTGTGCAGTCTGTGTATTTATCCCCAACAGTAACCAGAAGGACCCTTGGATGCAAAATTTGACATGGAATTATTATTTACCAATAATAATTATAGCTAACATTTATTGAGCACTTATTATTTGCCAGGCACTTTTGTAAGTACCTTATTTTTTTTCCTACATAATCCTCACAGCAACCCTGAGAGACAGGCACTTCTGTTACTCCCAATTTATAGATGGAGAAGTTTGCCTCCGTTCACAGAGCTAATAGGTGGCAGGACAAAGGTGCACACCCGGCCTGCCTGACCCAGAGCTCAGAGCCCATGTTCTCAGCCACCTGCCCAATTTGCAGATGAGAGCGGCCTTTGCATTTCACTGGGCAGTGGTCTCGGACGTGGGTCTCTGCTCCATACTGGGCATTATGCACAATAGGTTCTGGCACTTCTGATGTCTCTGACCATGAGAATGAGAAAGCTTTACTGAAGAGAACAGCTTCAGCTGTGGTCCAGACTATTATCTGTTTTGCCAGGTCCTGCTGAGAGACCCTCGGGTGTCCCGCATCATTCTTGTTTCGTTCTGTTCTAGCCTCAGGAGGTTGTGTCCTTTTCACTCTGACCCATTGCTCAGTAACCTTGATGACTCAAGCTCTGCTCAGGTGCCAAGGGCTAGTCAGGGGCTTCTGAGGGGTGCTCACCTCTCGTGGGCGGTGGGCATGGCCTCTGGGGTGGCTGCCCTGTGCTGGAGCACTCTGTCTTGTTAGCAGTGTGACCACCTGGTGCTGCATCGCTGACTCTGTCTACACTCAATTCTGCCCTTCCTGGGCCTTTATTCACTGGCCAGCTGTGCCTGTGGCCTCCAGGCTGTGGTGACCAGAGGGAAGAAGGGGCCTTCCCCACCTTCCCAGGAAGGGGAACTTCTGATTGGGGTCTTAGCTGAAGCAGCTCTTCCTGTATTGAAATCTTTGGGGTATTTTCATGAACTATATTCTGTGTCACCACACAAGGGTGGAGGTGGTGGTGCACCATTCATTCATTCATGACACATTTATTAAACACTTTATTAAGCACCTATTCATGTTTCAGGCACTGTGCAGAGCACTGGGTTTGCCATGACAACTAAGATAAACATTGTCCCTGCGTCCATACTTTACCATTCCTGAATAAATTAGACACAAAATGAGGCCATTATAAAGCAATTTGATAAATAACTATTTTGAAAGAGCACAGAAGGGGCACCTACTCCAGACCTGAAGGGCTGGGGCAGATTACCAAGGAGAAGTGGCATCAGAGACTTGAAGGATAACTAGAAGAAGTTAGGCAAGTGAAGAGGTTGATAGGAAGTGAGGAAGAGAAAGTGATTTGAAGAGAGAAGAAATGGCAAGTACAAAGGCCTACAGGCAGAAAGCATGCAGAGCCTGGGCAACCACAGTTGGCTCAGGACAGCTGAAGCAGTTTGCAATAGTGTGGCAAGATATGGTGCTGGAGAGATGAGCGTCATTTAATCTTTGAATATATCACTTAGGGACCACTTACTTTCATAGACTAACCTACTGTACCTTGAATATTTTGCAGCAGGGGATGGAACTGAATAACATTTGTCAAGCCCTAATATGTACTGGGGAGGCTGGATAATTTCAGAGGCCTCTGGTTCTGGATCCCAGCCCTTACCATCCAGGGCCCCAAGTCAGCCAAGTGCTTCTCTCCCCCAAATGAAATCTCTTGTTGTTCAAGGCACATCAGAGTCTCTCTCCTGCTGCTACCAGTAGTGCTCTCCACTCCCAAAACTGGTGGCCCTCTCAAGGTCCCCTCGGCTATTTCTGCTGCTGCTGTGTCCACAGCCAGACCTGATGTGACCACTATTATTATTAGGGTTGACCTCACTGCACCACTAGGTACTAGGAACTGGTCTTTCACACCACCAGCAGGCCTACAAGAAGGGGTGTTTATCTCCATTGATACAAATGGGGAAACTGAGGCTCAGAGACATTAAATTTTTGTCACAAGCCACAAACCTATAAGTAGCAAGGCAGCATTTGGGCTTACTCTTACTCCAAAGCCATTATAACTACACAACAGTGCCTCTTTCCCTGTCACTATTATAGTTTTTGTTAGGATCCCTTTAAGTCTGCTCCATCTGTTTTCTTATTGATCCTTTTTTTGATGAGTCCCTCAGAGATTGGGTTTTGAGGGGCCTCTCAAAGAGTTGTACCTTGAATGTGTCCCTCCCACAAAGAAAGGACAAATTTCAGACACCACAAATTGTTAGGGTATGCAGCATGCCTTTCTAAGCTCTGTCCCCAAGATTTTTAATGTTTATTTTTTAAATATGTTTTATTGATTTCAGAGAGAGGGAGGGACAGGGAGAGAGAGAGAAACATCAATGATGATCGCTGCCTACTGCACATCCCCCACTAGGGATTGAGCCCAAAACCCAGGCAAGTGCCCTGCCTGGGAATCGAACCGTGACCTCCAGGTTCATGGGCTGACACTCAACCACTGGGCAACACTGGCTAGGCTATCCCCAAGATTTAAGCCTCCCATCCCTCACTTTGATTAAGAACATTACAGTAATTTCTGATGTTGGCTAGAATTTTAAAATTCTTCCCAGGGCATCTGGTAATTTTTTTATGTAAACATATTTTTAGGCAGTCCTTGGCGTATCTGAGCACATTGCCTATGTGCAATTAGCAGGTCAGTTTTCTTTGTGCCCTTCTCCAGATTCTCACTGAATGTTGTTTTTGATTTGCTTTTATTTTTGTCCCCGTCTTTCATTACCATTTTAATGTTCAATTTCAACACTAAAAAAATAATTTTTTCTGTCCCTCTGCTCCCTCCTGCCTCTTCTCTCAAACACCAATAAAGCCCAGGCCAAGTCTTATAGATCCTGGCAGTGGAGATGGACATATTTGCTAGTGAGGGCTCCAGCTTCAGACAAGGTTACTAATGAATCAATCACCAAGCTTTTATTAAGTGTCCCTTTGCTAAAGCACAGCTTGTGATGCAGCCAGGTGGCCCTGGCTCTGCACTCCTGAAAGTAATCTGGACTCTCACTAATTACTCTTCTTCCTGGTAGCAAGTAGAAGCAGCAATTTTCAAATTGCTTTTATTGATCACAGAACATTTTCTCCAGAATCTCACTCTTTATAAAAAAAGGAATAAAATTATTTCCGGTCAATAGAGTAAAAAAAATTTTATATAATAAAGGTGGTTTGCGTAGTGGTTAGGATTACACAGCGTAATCCTAACCTGGGTGTGAATTCCTGGCTTTACCCTTTACTGGCTATGTGTAGTAGGGCAAGTTGCTTCAGCTCTTTGAACCTCAGTTTTTCCCTCTGTAAAATGGGAATAATATTAGTTCTCAGAGCTGTTATAAGGATTAAATCAGCAGCGGTTAAATAAAACAGCGTAGTTTGGCCCACGAGGTACAGCTGTTATTATTATCACTTATTATTATCATGAAAGCCATCTTCAAGCCAATCTGATATAATGTCCTCTGTTACTTGTGATTCTCCTTTCTCCATACAAGTTCTCATTCCTCTTCCAAAGTAAGACATGATCTCGCTTTCATGGATACTCTGATTCTCAACGTTTATAATTATAGTCAATCCTCACTAACGTTCATAGGTTCTTGGAACTACAGTGAAACAACGTTATTAAGAAACCAGTTTTACCAGAGGCTAATTGATATAAACAAGGATTAAGCTAGAACAGCATCTGATCAACATTATAGCAAAATGATGTTATTTGAGGACTTGCTGTATATGATAAAATTAAGGCTTAAAGAAATTGCGATTGACCGTTTGCTTTCACCTAGCCTTTCTCAGTGACTATGTTTTCATTGCAGAACGGTGAGGTGGAGTTTGTCCGAACCGGCTATGGGAAGGACATGGTGAAGGTCCTCCGCATTCAGCGAGATGGAAAATATCACAGCATTAAAGAAGTGGCAACTTCAGTGCAACTTACTCTGAGCTCCAAAAAAGATTATCTGCATGGAGATAATTCAGACATCATCCCTACAGACACCATCAAGAACACAGTTCACGTCTTGGCAAAGTTCAAAGGAGTAGGTGTTGTTCTTAGATGCTGCCAGTCGTGCAGAATTCCCCATTCTATAACACGACGATATTACTTGCTTGTTTCAAGTTCCCTTTGCTTTTTAACTCTATTTTTACACTTAAGCCATTTAAAATTTTTTCATTGCTATTCTAAAATTCCCAGCCTTACAGAAAAGTGTGGTTGTTATTTGTTTGCTTGTTTTTTAAGACTCACCTCTTTGTTCTCTTTTCTTGGATCTCAACTCTCTACAACATCTTTTAGGTAGAGGCTTTTATTAAAGGATTTTACAGTTATCTCTTGATCGGGATCATGGCAAATCAACGTCCTGGGAGTGTTTCAGATTTAGAAATTTATACATTTTTGTCAAGCATTTCTTTGAGAGCTATTTATTTTTTTCTCTTAAAATGGTGTGCATTTATAAAAGAAAATACTATTTCTCTTCTTGGTGTTGCTGTAGAAGAAAATCTTAAGTATTAGATACATTTTGGAATTAATTTGTCTAACTTTTAATGCCTTCCTAATCTTCCCAACTCCATAACCATTTAGTATCCATATATGGTGGCAATTATACCCTTCTAAGGGGCCTTGGAACAGATAGAATTGGATATTTTAGTACTTTCCCTGGAGTTTCTTTAAGTGTGAGTGAAGCTGTGCTGGACCACCAGCAGATTTCTGGGCAATTCAAGATAATGTTTTCACTTGCTAAGAAGTCTAAAAAGACAGGAAACGTAGCTTCTTTTCTCATGCTTTTGCATGAAATCCACACCCATGAAATGAGCAGATTAATTAAAATATAAATTCTGCAGGATGAATTTCCACCCTGAACTTTTCTCTTGCTAATCAGAATGGCCCAGCAAGCACAGGCATGGCTATGGAAAAAGGCATTGCTCTCTTAAAAGCATACATTGAAAATAGGATTTTGTACTGCTGCAAAAAAGAGAGCTGGGTAGCACAGATTCTTACATTTTCTGCACTGTGTGATAGGTGCAGGAAAGTGAAGGAATGAATCTGGATGTTAAACACTGTTTAAATTTATTCACTTTAGATAGAATGACTGTATACTTTTTTATCCAAACCAGTACAATTTTTTTCTTATTTTTTAAATTGAGATATACTTGGCATACAACATTATATTAGTTTCAGGTGTACACCATAATGATTTGACTTGTATATACTGCAAAGTGATCACCACAATAAGTCTAGTTAACATCCATCGCCACATATAGTTACAGAATTTTTTTTCTTGTGATGATAACTTTTAAGATTTCCTTTCTTAGCCACTTTCAGATGTGCGATATAGTCTTATTAACTATAGTATCCCTGCGGCACGTTACATCCCCATGACTTATTTATTTTACACCTGGAAATTTGTACCTTTCGACTCGCTTTATTCATTTGACTCCGTTTTGCTCACACCCCCCACCCCTCACCTCTGGCAACCACCAATTTGTTCTCTGTCTCTATGAGCTTGGTTTTATTTGTTTGCTTTGTGTTTGTGTATTTATTTATTTATTTATTTATTTTTAAAGGGGAGAAATTAATATATTTTTAAAAGTATAACTGTGGAAAAGTAGTAACAGTGTCATAAATGAAGAGTTTTCTGAGCATATAAAATGTGTTATTCTTCACGCACCAGGCTCCATCCAGTTTTTGTGGGTACAGTTTTCATATACAATATTTGTAAATGAACTTGAAACTTCTGAAGACAGCCTCGCCCTTTTGGTTTGTCATGTCCTGGGCGGTCCTGTTGGGACATGGAAGTGTTTGTGTTTGTTTTAGGTTCCACATATAAGTAAGATCATACAGCATTTGCTTTTCTCTGTTTGACTTATTTCACTTAGCATAATGTCATCAAGTTCCATCCATGTTATTGCAAATGGCAATATTTCATTCTTTTAATGGCTGAATGATATTCATATATATATATATATATATATATATATATATACACATATATATATGTATATATATATGTGTGTGTGTGTGTGTGTGTGTATGTATGTATAACATTTTCTTTATCCATTCATCCATTGATGGACACTTAAGTTATTTCCATATCTTGGTTACTGTAATAATGCTACAGTTAACATGTGTGTATCTTTTCGTTAGTGCTTTCATTTTCTAAACCAGGACACTTTTGAGAATGAAATAGGATGTTATTAATAATTATTCTGGGACAACAGGTATAAAAGATCTCAAAAATGTCAGAGCTATCCTGGGGATACCTGTACAAATAGTCCATCTTAATTATAGGCAAATAATCTGTAGATTATGATAGTACCATAAAACACTGCCTAGAGATTAATATGAAAAATTTGTGTGGAAGTAGGAAGCTGCTTTATGGGGGTAGACAGCTGAGGATGGGAATGGAAGGCCTGTTCGCAAGGCAAAAAAGCTGAAGTAGCCCTTCATTATCATTTTTCCTTGGAAAACTGGGAGGCCTATTTGCCAACCTCATAAAAAGACTGAGGTATTTTGGAGTATACTATAGTACTGTAGCTGGTATAGCTGATGGCTGAGTTTACCATGAGGAGCATCTGAATGTTAAGTTACTTTTGCTCATCCACTCATCTCCTACAAAACAGGTTTCTTTTGAAAACAGGATAGCCTCACTTGGTGATGGTGACTTAATAATTACACTTAGGAGCCCTTGTGCAAAATTGGAGTAACAACCAATTCATCTCCCAAGATTCTTTCTAATTCTATGTTTCTCTGACTCTAGAAGGCACTTGATCCGAAAGAGAGCTCCATGGATATTAAAAATTATTTTTAAGTGGGGCAAGTATTTCTGATCACTAGCATTTTGTTTCTTTCTACAGATCAAAAGCATAGAAACTTTTGCTATGGATATCTGTGAACATTTTCTTTCTTCTTTTAACCATGTCATCAGAGCTCAAGTCTACGTGGAAGAAGTCCCTTGGAAGCGTTTTGAAAAGGTTACTTTACTTATTTGTGCTCTCAGTTTAATTAAAGAAATTGGTTTTATCACATATGCTGAAATTTTACTGGAAACAATGTTTGTCTCTAATTTTCAGAATGGAGTTAAGCATGTCCATGCATTTATTCACACTCCCACTGGAACGCACTTCTGTGAGGTTGAGCAGATGAAGAGTGGTGAGAAAATATTTTTCATGCTTTGAATCTGCTGTAGCAATTTGTTTTTCTTCTTCTAAACTACTCTAATAGGAAAACTGTAAAGAATTTTGAAGGCTTTTAAATTTGAGATGGGAATGAGCATTGTGACTTTGGATTACATTTAAAAACAATCTGCTTTTTATCTTAAAAAATATAAAAATGAAATAATACCTTTTGCAAAAACCTGAGAGTTAAATAAAGTAGATCATTTTTATTACCCTGTTTTGAGGTAAGGGGGCAAAAAAGGTCCAGGCTGACAAAACCCCAAATCTCTGAACTGTCTGACCTGTACTTACTATACCGGGCTTTAATTATAATAACCTTTATAGGAAATAGCTAGTGAATAACAATCACATTTCCCTGGCATTTTATTTGCTTAATAAACAACTATTGAGATTACTATAAAAACAAATCTCATTTAAAATGGCAATGACAATTATACATTTCTTCCTAGTTACCAAGAAATTTAAAAATTAACTGTGGAACATAATTACAATAACACCAGGCCTGAAAGTAGAACATAGCACTTCTGCTAGGAAGAACCCAATCACACTGCTTCACTTAAGTGCAAGGGAGGCTGGGAAATGCAGTCTAGCCAGGTACCCAGGGGAAAGAGGAAATAGATTTAGTGAACAGCTAGCAGGAAGGTTAAAAGAAGACTGAAGAGAAACTGTGCAGGTTGGCAAATGGGTCACTGGTGACTTCCACAAGAATATTTTAGCAGAGCCCTGGAGGGGGAAGTGAAGTGGCCAAGTTAAGGGCTCTCCTGATCAATAAGAAAACAGGCTGCTCTTCACACACCCTTGTTCTTTCCAGGAATTTCCAGGAGTTATCATCTGCCCGAACTGCAGTCACCTGGCTGCTGTAGAGTGGAAAAACTAGTCACCATAATCAGGGCACAGCTTTTTCTTTCTGCAGAAAGCTGCAAAGCTTCAGGGTATTGGCATCGTTGTGGCGGTGTTCTCAGAAGCTCCAGCTTGGCTTCATCTAAGACCCAGCGCCCCTCTGACATCCATGGGGTGGAGGGACCAGGGAGGGGAAGCAGCACCAGTTGCCTTAAGAGCAGGCAGTGTGTGTGTGTGTGTGTATACACATATATGAGTGTGTATATCTACCAGTGTTGTGTGTATGAAGATGACATTTGTACTCTGTACCTCTTTGGAGAGTAAAGATCTGTGTTTGGGCAGCAAAGTTTAATTCTTCATTTGTTTATTATCTAAGAGCTGAAACTGTGAGTTGAATCAATGAACAATTATTGTCATAAGAAATGGCCTTGCATAGGCTTAACTGAAGAAAATAATCATTATTTTTACACACACACACACACACACACACACACACACACTCCAATCCACAGGGTGAGGGCTGTTGTTACAAACCTCTAAGTAGGGCTCTTGGTAGGGGGCCGGCTAGGTTGGTGAGAATTCTGCCCCCTCAAACACATGGACTTAGTCACACTTTCAGCCATGCAACTACTCCCAAAAGGGGCTTTTCCCATTAGAATATGCAACTGAGTTTCTCCTAGTGGGTTGAATTCATTCTTATCAATTGAGCACACATCTATAGAAAGCCTACTGAATCTCAAGCACTGTGTTAGGCCCCAAGCATTGCTATAAAACTCCCATTGCATTATTCAGTGTACTTTTGGCTCTTGAGTCTACTAGTTTCATAGGAGAATCTGGAAGAGGGAAAGAAATTTTTTCACCCAAAGAGATGAAGACTGTTATATTTGTGACTTCCCGAGCTCTGAGAGGAGATCTAGGCTCTGCACTGGGATGTGGGATGTTGGTTTGGGTGTTATATAGAACCAGGATCTCCCAAATTCTTTCTTTCATGTGTCTCTCAGAACTACAAGCTTAGCCAAGCCTCAAAGTCACTGGGATGGTTGAGATACTAATTTGAACTTTGTTGGGTCCCAAACTTCTGCACTATTTGAATTATAACATCAAATTTCTCTCAATCTGACACTAATTATAAAAATTCATAGCTAAGTAGAGGAATGGATGATGGAGATGAGATCTCAGCTAAGCGAGACTATCTTTTGGTAGTAAAAATAAGCTACTAACATGGAAACTAGTGGGAGGTGGTGGTTTTAAGGAAGGGATGATGAAGTCCTGGAGAAGAACAGATTTAAGAAATGTCAATCTGGGCAGACCATAGAAGTGAGATGGGCCAAGTGGGAGACCCAGGGCAGAGATGGCCACTGCCAAGAAGGTTGTTTATGTCCTTTTGATGTCAAGACTAAAGTGCTCTTCAATTCCTCCAAAAGAAGAGTTCTTGGCAAACCCAAGGTCTTTTAAAATCATCTTAATTATCACCTAGTTGTACAAAAGCCCATTTAACTTCCTTCCTTTGGATGATGTCATCTTTCCCTACCCAGAATTACACAGAGGGAGCTTTCGCTCTTCCTGCATGAGCTAAATGGACTCTCAAAGCAAATGATATTTAATTGATCTTCACTTTTTTCTAGCACTTTACAAGTTTGAGGTTTTCTACTAGAATGATTTAATATAGTTTTAAAATATTCTGCTTTTAGCTATTTGTGTCCTTTTTGGAGGTGTTAAATATGGAAGCAATTATTCTCTTTATGACAGGATTTTTTCTTGGCTCAGTAAAGCTTTGTGCTTTGTGACACCTGATGCGTAGGTAAGGAATTGGGCTTTTCTATTAATTCTCAGTGAATTTCTTTCCCTTGGAGAACTAAAGGGTAGGATGTATGCTTCTCTGAGAGATAAGCCACAATCTGTTAAGTGTGTAGGAGGACACTAAAAGCTGGAGAAGATTATATTCTAGCAAAGTGAAATGTGAAAATGCAAAAGGGAGCTTTTGCATTACTCCATAACCATGGCAGGAAGGCAAAAAACTAAAAAGCTGATTAAATGGTTTAATAGGAAGTAACCTAGAAAAGGACAGTCTTTTTTGTTGAGTTGCTTCTTATTAGTCTAAATTGGAATCCTTTTTAGAGTGTGTGAGGCATCATATTTTTAGTTGATGGGTCCATGAATTTGAAAGGCTCAGGTTCTTACCAGTGTTTAGGAGGCTTAGCACTGCCAACATAGGAGATAAAATAAGCTGTCTGATTTCATCCAGAGAATCTAATATGTGCCAAGGGAAAGAAATTCACATTCAAAGAGGATAGGTTTTTTGTTGTTGTTTTGTTCAGAGAATGATGAGTGTACCAGAGTAGATGGTTTGCATTCTGCCAAAACTGTGGCAAATAGTTAACTGTTTTGGGGAACATGAGACATTTTATTCTATGTGAAACTGAGGCCAAAATACATTAGAGAATGCAACTGCTTTCTCCATTTTCAGAGTCTAGCAAGAAAGTAGATCATTTCAAAGTTGCCTAGCAGAAGTGACACTCCTGGAAGATCAATAAATCTCATCGTGGGCCGGAGGTAGATAGTGACAGCATATCAGAAGTAGTTTTCATAACCCCATGAGCCTTTGTGAAACATGGGAGATATTTACAGGTGGTTGAAGTTCTAAGAAGAAGTCAGTTATGGCAAAATCATCATAAAAACCTTTATAGAGCATTTTCTTAGCCATTCTAATGCCTTTATGTGTATTATCTTAGACATGTATCAACTCCAGGAAATAGGTATGGTCATCACCTCCATTTGACAGATGAGAAAATCAAGGTAGAGAGAGGTTAAGTAAGTTTCTCAGGCGAATATTGTTCATAAATTGGGGAGGAGAGGCACAGAGAGTGCTTAGATTTGAATTTAGGGAATCTGAGGCCCAAAGCTGTGGGCTCAACCCCTATGCAACCGTATATCCTGGAATTCTCTTATGATGAAGACCATTGGAGGAGCCAGTCTTTTTTACTTACACGGATGCTGGCGATCAAGGCCAGCGGTCTAGGAGAAGATGAACCAGGTAAAGCTTGCCTTTGGTTCTGTTTCACCTTCTCTTTATCTCCCTTTAAGGGTTCCCACTACTTTTTTGACCCTACTTCTAACTGCAAACTCACTTTTCATTTCTATAGAATTTTTTTTTTAGAAGGGATTACTGTTGGAAATAGATTATAATATTAGTTTATAAAGGTTTAAGGAGTCAGTCCTTTAAGGGGTCTTTGTATTTCAATAGAAAATTTTAAAGGAATAAAACGTTATCACTGATGTTTCAGCCTAACTGGTGTGGCCCAGAGCATCGACCCATGAACCAAGAGGTCACCGGTTCGATTCTCTGTCAGGGCACATGCCTGAATTATAGTCTCAAACCCCAGATTGATGCTTCTATCTCTCTATCTCTCTCCCTTCCTCTTTCTCTCAAATCAATCATATATATATATATAAAGTGATGTTTCAGTTTCCATTTCAGACCAAAGAGGAAGGTATTTTTCAGTCTGGGCGCTCTATCAGAACCCCAAGCACACAATGGAATGGGAAGTGCCAACCTCTTTATCTCCTGGAAAGACCTCTTATTGTAAAGAAAGGGGGAGTTAAAGGAAGGAGAAAACTTTGTGTAGATGGGAGTAATCCAAAGAGGAGGAAGAGAAGCATGGGATTTCACAATGGGGTACTGATTTCAAACTCCACCTCTGCCAGTTCCTATACACGTCACTATGGGCAAATGATTAAAAGCCCTGGGTAAAAGTACTTATGTAATAGACAGCAACCCAATGCATGCTGATAATCAAGGCCTTTTTAGCTGATATTGATGCCCTCACCCTATCCCCCTGCCACACTGTGTATTAGAGTTGTGAGTGAGGGTGGTCAGGAAGGGAAATGGTAAAGACTGATGGAGGAGAACTGTCTAGAGAAAAAGAGAGAAAGTTGTGAGATATTCATTTTTTGATGTGAATCAGTCTTGTAGCACTCATTCATTCATTCATTCATTCATTCATTCATTCATTCTTACTGATTACTTCTATAATTCTCTGAATTTGAGACTTAGGCTCACTTGGATCAGCTCCACATTGCATTTAGAAATGCTGATTTTTCAGAACCAAGTCTTCACACATCTAGAATCTGATAAAACCAGCCAACTTAAAAGCATTAAGGCATTGCTGGTGTCTTTCTCTTGATTCTTCTGCAGATGTAGCTTCCAATGAGAACTTCAGAATATTACAGAAATAGCATTTTCAGTTTTACCACGTTATCCTGGAACACTCTGGACCGAACACCTTATTTAATCAGTACATATTTAATCAGCAGACCTGCCGCTGACCCCTGGCCATTGCTCGCTCTAGTAGATGCACACATGTGGCAGGGAAAATATCAAAATATAGTCATTATTTATCTACTTCTGGAACTCCACACCTCCTGAATTAACTACAGCAATTAGAACCACACAGGTGATGTAAACATTGGATTATTAAGAGCTGCCCTGGGTTGTAATTGAGGATCATGGGTTACATTCTTATTCTTCAACTAAGACCATGTCTGACATCTCAGCCCTTGATTTATATACTAAGCAGGCCAGGAAGGTTAGATATTAATCAGGACTAACTTCAAGATTGAAAAGAGGTGACCTTTGTTATCCTGCCATGGCAGTGTGCTATTAGGGATATGTACCCAAGTGTCCCCTGAATGTCCAGCCTCACCAGACTGCACATGCAAATCAGACCATAGTGATGTTAATTCCTGAAATGTTCTGGTTTTGTAGCTCTCATTACAAAACTTCTGGGCCTCTCCAGCCAAACTCTCCCACTTTCTGACAGCCCGAGGGTCTGTCTCACGTGTTCAGGGAGAAATTGGCACCACTGGGTACAACTTCTGCCTCACTGGCTCTGCTCAGCATTTGCCGTGCCAGTTATCACTGCTCCATGGGAAGAATGATGTTCTCCACAGAGAACTGTACCCTGGGGCTTCTCAGTGTGTCAACTGGAGCCATCATCTCTTCAGGCTTCACCAATCTGTTGGAGCTACAGTGTGTTCCACACAGAAAAAGAAAAATATAATTGTTCTCTCACTGACTCTGTGCTCCACCTGCTACCTGGGCCCTGAGCTAAAACTGCCTGGTACACAAGTAAACAGCTTACTCAGATTATGCTCATCCCCCCTCCACCTCCCTAATTCACCTCATGAGGTGGCATGAGGGGCTGCAAGAGAGCCATAACATCCCCTCCATTGTTTTCAGCTGTGTCTTCTCTCCCCCAGGTCCTCATGAACCAACTTGGTCCTTCCTCCTTCAGCCAAAAAACTTAGGCAGAGCTATGCTTTGCGCGTCACCAGCCTCATCTTCCCAGTCTCTGTTTAGGCTCAGTCAGGCTTACACTGTTGTCCATTCATGAAGTTTGGTTTCACTGAGCTCATAACCACAAGGGAACTGAGGGGCTGGTGGGATGAGAGCCATAAGTCAGCATAGGCCATCGACGTGAGGACTGCCCCCATAAAGGGGATCACAGCAGCAGGCAGAACCGCTCTGTGGGAGCTTATCAAGTCATTGCAGCATGGTTGTCTAGTGAATGAGATGCAGCTCAAAAAATGGAAGGTGTTTGGCCTAGAAGACAGCCCTGTATGTAGTGAGAGGAAGGTATTCATTTCTGTGGGCTTCAACACAACATGGAGGTTTAGTCTCTGACCTTAAGTTCTCCAAGGGCAGGAGAGGGCAGGGAGTCGTGGAATCCAGACAGAGGGAAAGGCACACCGTCCTCATCATTTGGACTTCAGAGGAGTCAGGGGGACAGAAAATGTGGGCGGTGATGTAGTTCTCTGTATAAGCATAGTGTGCCATGTTTTAATGACCAGGATCCTCAGGACTAGGTATCAGTGGAAGGCACTATTTTATGACCCTATCCCCGCTTACCTTTTTACTTAAAACAGGACCTCTAGTCATTCATTCTGGAATCAAAGATCTCAAGGTTTTGAAAACGACCCAGTCTGGATTTGAAGGATTCATTAAGGACCAGTTCACCACCCTCCCTGAGGTGAAGGACAGGTGCTTCGCCACCCAAGTGTACTGCAAGTGGCGCTACCGCAAGAGCGGGGACATGGACTTTGAAGCTACCTGGTATGAACATGTGCTGGGGCCTGGAGTTCATGAATTCTTCAGTTTGAAAGAGAAACATAGAGGCCATTCAATTCAGCTTCCCCACTGTGCCAAATCCCTTCTGTTGGATAACAGAAAGCCAATGGTCTTACTCTGAGTTAATAAACCTGCACTTGAATCTCAGATTCTATTAGCAATAATGACCTTGAATGGACCACCTAATTTCCATGACCCTGTGCTTTTAATTGATTAAATCAGTACTTCTCAAACATTATTGTGTTATCAGAATCACATGGAAGACTTGTTAGAATACACGTCACTGGGCCTACTCCTAAAGGCTCTGCCTCTGTAGGTCTCGGGTGAGACACGAGAACTTGCATTTCTAGCAAACTCCCAGGTGATGCTGATACTACTGGACCAGGGGCCATGTGTTAAGAATCTCTGTATCAAGTGAGAATAATGATATGTGACTTCACTACCTCACCGTGCATGCAGAAAGGGCTAAACTAGTGTGACCAATACGTCCCACTTTGTCAAGGATTTTCCTGATTTTAAAACTGAAAGTCTCATGTCCCAGGAAACCCCTTGTTCCTAGGCAAGCTGAACCTTGGCTACACTCTAAATGACATAACATTCACCGAAGCACTTGTAAAAGATAAATGCCTTAACAAAATAAAGGTATGATTATTATAATAGTATCCTGACAGGCAGTAAGTAGGCCCCTGAACTCCCAGAGTCTACTTTTTGATCAGGCATCTCCTTTCTTTGCTGAAGCTCTAATTGTTAGGAACTTTTACTCTGTGACGAGCTGGAATCTGCCCCTGGGAGCTTGCCCCCATTGGTACAGCTTTGCTCTGCTCCTTTGATTATGTGATAGGCTGGGAAATGCGTAAAGACAACCTCACCTCAATCTTCTTTTTCCTTTTTTATTTCAAGCGTTTCCCATGGGCAGCAGCCTGATGTATTTGTGTTGAAGAGAGTACAAAATTGAGCGTGCCAGAGTCAGGGTACTAGCTGGGCCTCCCACTAAAGAGAAGCCTTAACGTGGATCATTTAACTTTTAAGCTCAGATTCCTCACCTGTAAATTGGGGATAATCATAGCACCTGCCTCAGGTATATTCAGAGAATTCAATAAAGTAATCAAATAAAATATTTATCTCAGAGAAAAAACACTAAAACAGCAATTCAGGAACCAGCCAAGCTGAGCAGTCAGAACGCTGCAGTGCTTGGGAGTGCTCTTCACAGGTTCCTCAAACGTGGAAGAACATTTATCCTGGGATTCCCACCGGGCCCTGGGGCCAGATTAGGAAGACAGCCCAGTGACGCTCAACATGTCCATTGAGTGGTGTGTGTGTGTGTGTGTGTGTGTGTNGTGCTTGGGAGTGCTCTTCACAGGTTCCTCAAACGTGGAAGAACATTTATCCTGGGATTCCCACCGGGCCCTGGGGCCAGATTAGGAAGACAGCCCAGTGACGCTCAACATGTCCATTGAGTGGTGTGTGTGTGTGTAAGGAAATTGGAAGTGAGATTTTTTTTATATTACAAGATCTTAATCTCTTCTAAAATCAACAATAAAATTGTTTTCTGAGGAATAGGATGGTCACTGCTTGGTAGCTTTATAATACATTCCCAAAGACCACCCTATGAGTCTTCAGTTCTCTTTTCTGTGTTTTAGGGACACTGTTCGGGACATTGTCCTGGAGAAATTTGCTGGCCCCTGTGACAAAGGCGAGTACTCGCCCTCTGTCCAGAAGACCCTCTATGATATCCAGGCGCTCTCCCTGAGCCGGGTTCCTGAGGTACGTTTCATCACTTGCCATTTTGAGGACTGCGAGAACTTGTTGTGTCTCCCGTCAGCTCTGAGAAAGAGTTGAGAGTTAAAATAAGAAAGTGGGAGACACATGAAAAATGACATCTGTTGTTGTTCAAAAGCTTGTTATAGCAAGTGAGGAGAGCAAAAAATGGAAAAAATCTGTCCAACCTGAAAACACAGGCCACCGCTATAGTTCTTTAGTTGTGCTGAGAATTCTTTGAGTCTCTTCACCCTGCCACATTTAAGTTTCAGGAGATCCAGAGAATGAAGGATAGATGCAGAGTGATTTTATCCACCCGTCCGTCCGTCCGTCCATCCATCCATCCATCCATCCATCCATCCATCCATCCATCCATCCATTTGATATTATTAAATGGTTATTATGCATCTGTCAAAACATGAACGATACAAAGATAAATTAGACATGATCTTTACTCTCAAGATGTCATCATTTAGTGAAAGAAGCAAATGAGTAAACTAACAATACAATAAAGAATAGAGAATTATGGAAATACAGGGGAAGGCACCTACCTCAGGTATAGGGGATAGGGCCAGCCAGGCTTTCTGGAGGGAAAGGTGTTTGAGTTGAGTTTTAAGGGATAAGAGGGGGCTGTCCAAGTTCACACTCAAAAGTGAGGGAATAGGGTAGGTATGGAGACAGGAGGCAGCATGGAACAGTCATTTACTGTTGAGAGTCTCCATATGTAAAGCCTAGAGATGAGGCAGGAACTAGATCAGGAGGGCCCTTGTGGTTTTATTTATAGTCTACTTTATCCTGAAAGCTCTTAGGAGCCACCCAGGGGTTTAAGCAGGGTATGGTGCCTCCAGATTTGCACTCCAAAAGGATTACTCTGAAAGAAATGTAATAAATCAAAAAGGCAATGGACTTCTGGCAAGAAGAACTGTTGAGAGGCTGTTGCAGAAATCTGGAAAGTATCCCTGCACTAAGGCCATGATGGGATAGAAAGGAAGAGTGTTAGCCTTAGATTTGGGCAAGCAGGACTCCAGCCATGGCCCTGCACTTTTGAGGCTTGCTTCAGGCCATCCTCTGGCTGAGCTTATCTTCACTGGATGAAAATCAGTAAGACCAAGGCAAAAAACCCCTCAGAAACCCATGCATCCCCTCTGTACCATTCTCTGGATACCTGTAATCCCGAATTTCCTGCCCAAATAACCCTGAGACTAATTCCAGAACCTGAGCAAGTCTCTTCTCTAGATCCTTCGTCTACAGGGCAGATCATGCCTTTGGTGTATGCACCCTTAGGCCTGGGAGTGGGCAAAAATCAGACGTTTGCAGGAGGTATGGATGGGATTTGATATGCAAGCTGGGGTGTTCACCCACCTGAGTATAAGAAAGAAGATGGGATGGGCCAGGGCTCGGAGCTGACTCTTCCCATGCTACCATGTCCTGGGATGACACTCGAAAGAGTCAAGGAATTTTAAATTAGATCCTAGCCTTCCAGGTTGTTATGAAGGTATATTTGCCAAGTTAGAAGGATAGAACATATTCCACTTAAAAGTGGTTTGTTTTTTAGCTTGATTTATAACTTTTAAATCTTTAAACATCTGGTATGTGGGCCTCCAATTATACTCTTACCCCAGGGTCCACAAATGCTAGGGAAAGGCCTGGAGAGGTAGGAGTGCAATGAGGAGGGATTTAGGAGGTGGAGTGGCCAGCCCCAGGAGACCAGTTTGATGCTGAAGAAGTCTCCCATGTTTCTAATCCAAGAAGCCCTTGCTTTTCTGAGAAGTAGGTTTTGTTCACGGAGAGGGGAAGAGTGGGCCCACCATCTACTACTATGACTAGGAGGAGAGAACAGTTTGGGGCGGTAGAGGAACATCAGGGCCTGTCTCAGAGATAGAGGTGGAGGCTGAGTAACAGGCTAGTGGGTAGGTGGGGGAAGGGGGTGAGTGGCGGATAGATAGATTCTCAGTTGCCCAATGTGATGTATACCCTTGTGGATTCCAGATAGAAGATATGGAAATCAGCCTGCCAAATATCCATTACTTTAACATAGACATGTCCAGAATGGGACTGATCAACAAGGACGAGGTAAGAACTTTAAAAATATTTAAAGGATGAGTGTGGCTCAGTGGTTGAGCGTCGACCTAGGATCCAGGAGGTCAAGGCTTCGATTCCCTGTCAGGGCACATGCCCGAGTTGCAGGCTCGATACTCAGTAAGGGGTGTGCAAGAGGCAGCTGATCAATGACTCTCTCTCATCATTGATGCTTCTCCCTCTTGCCCTCTCCCTTCCTCTCTCTCTAAAAATCAATAAAAACATTTAAAAAAAAATGTATATCTATATATCNAATAAAAACATTTAAAAAAAATGTATATCTATATATCTATATATAGATATATAGATATATATATCTTTAAAGCACAGCTCCCCTTCCCCTACTTCCTTATAAATTTGAGATGATAATATCACCAACCCAAACTCTTAAGAGCTGTTGCTTTTGGAATATTTATAGTTGCCACTGACTAGAGAGCTCAGACTCTGGGACTCTCCACACCTGAGGCTGGAGCACCCTGGAAGTGCATGAGTGATTTCAGAGAACGGCTGGAAGTCTCAGGGAGTGAAAGACAAAGAAAGAACAGAGTGTGCCTAAGAAAACAGCTCTGAGATCTCCTTCTCTGAAAAATGCCCCACAAGGTCACAGCTTCATTATTTTCCCATCGAAAGGCAATGAGGAGAAGTAAAGGTTCTATTTTCATTCCGTCCATCATCTCTAACTTTTGATTAAGCAGTCAATTCAGTAGCATACAATATACACAAGAAAGATGAAAGCGGATTTGTGTTTCTACTTGCAATTACGGAAAGCAAGCTGGGGAAATTCTGTTTTTGAAAGGAAAGCTTGTCTTGGAAAAAGCGCTTACCCTGACTTATTTTTAGCCACGGCAGAAGGTTAAACCAAGTCAGTGTGTCTGACTAGACAGCCTGAGGTCCTGAGAGGCAGCCTGTTGGAGCCAGTTTTAGGAGATCAGGCTGTCCCTCCACCCTTGAATTTTTTTATTTGATCCATCCTTCTACAGGCTTCTAGAATATGAAAAACACCATTTTGGTAGCTTCTTTTAGTGCGGGGTGGGAGAGAAGGGGGGAGGGGCCTTCTAGTAACAAGGCCCTGCTGCCATAGAATCATATCCTTTGGTGAAGAAAGACCAATGACAGAGTGTCCAGAAGGTCCTACATTCTCCACCCCCTCCCCTCAGCCATATTAGTCACAACCCTCTGTCCAGGAACCTGGTTTCTCTGTTCTGCAAATTGTGTTGCTGTGCACCACCCGGGCTATAAGTGGAGGCAGGGGAGCAGCGCTGGGAAGCAAAGGTCGCGCTCAGGTGCCTGCTGGAGCTGATACGGAGCCCTGAGTGCAGAGGAGAGCAACAGAGGTCTCTTGTGCTGTTCATTCAGCTGAAAGGAGGGGCGGCACTGTTCCCTCGGAGGAAGGAAGGGTGTTGATTATCAGAATGCTGTCAATTCGGATGTAAAAACTTTCTAAATGATTGCCTTCTGAAGGAGAGGGCCTAAAAGTAATCCTGGCCATGTCCACCAACAGTGAAACAAATGTGCCCCGAACACAAAAATGCACAGGAGTCACAGCGAGCAATGCTTACTTTACCCGCCCCCCGCTTCGCCCCCACTCAGCCCCCACCGGCATGGAGAGGAGCGTCTCTGCGGGGCCCCTGACCTTCAGACCTGCCCCCACCCCAGCTCAAAAGCTTGCCCAAGGGCTGAGGCTGCAGTGTCCTTGCTCTAAGAAGTCAGACTGGAAGCTCCCTCCTGGAGTCCAGCAGGAGACCTGAAGGCAAAAAGTCCTACGTTCCTTTTGGCCAGGGCTCTGCATAAAGTCACCTGAGTGGCTCAACAAGCTGTCCCTGTGTCTGTGTTTGCACTTTGGGGATGGCTGGAGCCACTCTCAGGCCCTCACCCAGCAGGCGTGTGCAAAGTGAAGGCAACACATGAGAAGCAGGGAGTCAGGACACACTGACAACAGCAGAGAAGTGACAAATGACAGGGCAGGGAGAAGAACTCTAAATGCGCAGCTGTCTGGAGCAATTTAGCAATGGGACAGCAGCCCCGTGGACCTCAGATGCTCCTGAGGGCATGGCGGTCTCATAGCGCTGGACAGTGATTCATGTTCAAAGTGAGTCATCAAGCAAAGGCCAAATTACGTTCACTGCACTCTATTTAAAAGGCAGGGATATGTAATGCCTTTGAGAAACATTTATATCTCAATGATTAAAATTTTTCTAGAACGAAAACTCTTTAATGTTCTGGGGAATTGACTTATCTCAACTGTTGCCAGAAAAATAAGGCGTGGCCAGGCTTAAAGAACCTCGAATGTAGGGCACATACATTTTCTTATTTAGCAAGTTGTTTTTGCTATTGATTTACTGTTGATTCATAGAATAAAGGAGAAGTCTATTTGAATGGCTCTGAAGTTACAGTGTGGTTTTTCTACAGGTCTTGCTACCCTCAGACAATCCGTATGGCAGAATTACTGGTACAGTCAAGAGGAAGCTGGCTTCAAGGTTGTGACTTTGCAGCCACCAGTTGGACTCTACTCTCAGCTGAAGAGAGCCACTTGTGATGCTGAAAATCATAGCATGTAACCATGCAAATTTTCAACCTAGTATGTTGATTTATAGTGTGCATTTTCCTCTTGTATGAACAATGCTTCTACACCTAGCTCAGCAAGGTGTTTGATGATTGGTAACTTAACATGCTTTGTGGATACAGTTTATTTCACGAATGCTGAGCAGTATTAGAACAATTATAAATTAATATTTCTTTTTAGTTATCTTGTGCCTTCTGATCTTAGAGAAGCTTGAGAATCAATTCACTAAGAAATTAATCATGAATTAATGGAAGTGTCATGTCAATTAATTTGTGCACAAGTTTAAGAAGCGGGCATTGTTTTCATTCTACTGATGCTAAAACTTTTCTTCTGGGTAGTGCAGAAAATGTAATGACAAAATCATATTTTGAAATATATCACCATTGTGACTTCAATTAGACTGAATATTTGAATTTTTAAGAATGATCTATTTTATTCCTACTCTAAAAGTACTTTTGTAATCTTAATGTATTGGTTTTATGACTTCTACAGCTCTTAGAGAATACTAAGTATACATTGGGGCCATGAAAAAAGTATAAACTGTTTTCTTTGAATAATGCATCACTTTGTCACAAAGAGGCACATTTAATAAAAGCTAAGGCAATACACCGATGGATGAATATACATGTAGAAAGAATACTAGAGACTCTGTATATGGAAATATGAGCAGTAATGGTTTCTGGATGGTGGGATTATGAGTGATTTTTTTTCTTTTGGCCACTTGCTTTTATGAATCTTCCAAATATGAACATTTATTACCTATATAATCAGAGAAATAAATAGAATTAATGATTTAAAGATGCATATAAGTTGGAGTGGTGACTTTATCAATTGACTAACCCTACTATTGTATATGTATCATAGTTTCATAAACTATAATTTTAGAAACCCATTATAAACACCTGGCCACATGAACATTCTAAATAACCTTCCTCCATTTAAAAAACCCTCTCCATTTAGTATTATTTTTTAAATCTCTATTTTTAATAAATGCTTGCATAGGAGCGCTTAGTATAATTTGATAATTGTGCTTCATTCGCCTTTATAATACTACTACCTAAGGAAGCATGGTATAGTGTTTAATTTCACAGACTCATTTAAATCCTGTTTCCACCTCCTACTAGCTATATGACAAGTTTCCTCATGTACAATAGGGAAGTGAAAATAGAACCTACCTCACAGGTTTTTTGAGGATTAAATGGGTTAACGTTTATAAAGTGCTTTGATAGTATTCGTGCCTGACACATAGAAATTTCTGTGTGTGTCTGTTAAAAGAAATATCCTGCCTTCTTTTCGATTGTTATTAGACCCAAGAGGAAAGTCATGGTTGGGCTTTGTGGGTGGGGAGAGAGATGGGAGGTCTGACAGCAGCAAACCCTAGACGATGCTGGAGGCCGGTCACCAGCTAGTGCTTGAAGGAACCTGAGATGAGAAGGCGGAGGCCTTTTGCTAAGGAAAGGCCTGTGCTCTACGGAACTCAGCTTACAGAGTGTGCTTCCACATCCCGTCCTGTGCATGGCTCAGAGGACAGTACATTTTGTTCCTCTGCTGATGTGACAATTTTGTTCAAAGAGGGATTTAGAGTCTAGCATGATTTTTCCTAAACAAGCAGACAGGATAAAACACTTAATTAGGCCCTTCTTGCTTGATGTTCTCTTAGTCACATAGGTTATAGAAACACTGTAGTGGCTTCAGAGGAGAAACCCATGTTAGGCCAGAATCCTTGGAAACAGTGGCCCATTTTATATATATCTGCATTTGCTTCCCTTGAGCTCTTAAAACATTTATTGCGATGGGTTGCAGGTGAGCTATGATATCCCAGATGTTACATCCCATGTGTGTGGCAGGGAAACCAGTGGTCTGTGAATTTGCAACCAGGTTCCTGTTTTGTGAAGGAGGTTGTCTCCTGGTTAGGATTGTAATCTATGTGCTGCAAACAGGCTTTAGGTTTCACTTGCTCGTTTCGGGGCTGGCAGAAGGAGCAGGCTGCCTGAACTGTAAACACCTGTGAGGTGTTTGTATCAAACACTTTGTAATTTTGTTACTGAAGGCGACAGGGACTGTGCTCCTATTTTCTGGGAAGCAGAGCTGCTCTTGCAGCACTCTCCCCTCTTCTCTCCCATCCTTACTCCCATCGCATCTCAAGGACTTTCAGGGGGAATAAGGCAGGTGTGTTTACCGCCTGGGGGGCAGTTTGCATAGCACACAAAGGAGTAGCTATTGTTTGGGGCTTGTGGTCTTGGCAGCCAAGATTCAGGCTAAAAGTTGTTCCAAATCCTCTAAATTCCATCTCATGACTTTTCACTGAGACCAGCTCAGAAAACGTGTCCAGTTCCTTTTCCTTAAAAAGTCAGACTTGAGGTCATGCCATTCTTTACTTTTAGTAACCTGCTTTTTCTCCCTTTTTGCTCCCCAATAGAATGACTTTTGAGACAGTATTTTACTCATTTGTCATTGAAAGAGAATTTATCTTTTTCAATTACCTGCAAAATTTAACTACAGAAACCTTAACTTCCCTCTAACCTCTTAACCCTCTGTCCAGAAAGAGCACTTCCTTCCCTTCAGGCTCTGGGCTAAATGGAGCTTGCCTTTGTCATCTTTTAAAACCTTTGCAGTTTCTGCTTCCTCACCTGCATTTATGAGAAGACCAAAGCTTCTTTCTAAAGACATGGATTTCAAGCCTTCTAACCAGACACACTGGGTTCTTCTTGCTTCCAAATAATGGAGACTTAATCTCTTTGTATTTTTCATATTCTTTGTTCTCATTTTTCAAAGAACTCAGCTGCCTCTCATTCTTCCATTTGCCCAAGCTCTTTTTCCGAAATTCTTAAAGTCTTTTTTTGGATCGTACTGAGGCCCTATTGAGAATGGGATGGCTCTGGACCTACTCCGCAGGAGAATGCTCATGCACGTCCCCAGAGGTGCCATGACGTCTGCTGAGGAAGTAGTTTACATTCTCTCCTTAAAGTATAAAGGATTCCAATAGAAATTTTCCACATAAGGAAGACAGTCACCCAAGCATAGAACAAGGGCTTACTGGTTACCTTTATATGAGAAAGGGAAATACATCTATTAGAATAAAAGAGAAGGAGCCCAGGTACATTAGTTTGCTGAGGCTGCTGTAATAAATTAACACAAACTTGGTGGTGTATGACAACCGAGACTTATCCCCTCATTGTCCTGGAGGCCAGAAATCCAAAATTGAGGTGTTGGCAGGGTTGTGCTCTCTCTACAAGCTCTAGGGCACATTCTAGGATTAGNTCCTGGAGGCCAGAAATCCAAAATTGAGGTGTTGGCAGGATTGTGCTCTCTCTATAAGCTCTAGAGGACATTCTAGGATTATCGGGCAACCACTCAACCTACTATAACAAGCCAGGGGACACTGGGCAGCATCTCGAGGGCAGCTCTTCTGGTGCCTATTGATCTTTAGGCGCACAGGCTACTATTCCCTTCTTATCTGGGGATGGCGACATTCCCCTTCCAGTTTGATCAGCTGTCACACAGATGTTTATAAAAGCCTGAAAAGCATGGGCTTTGGATGTAAATAGTGCTCAGTTTTTAGATGGGGCCCTACCAATCTCTAGCTGTGTGACCTTGGACAACTTACCCTAAACTTTAGTTCTCTAATTTTGAAATGGGAGTAATAATAGTACTTACTTCAGAGTAACTGAGGAGTAACCGGGGAGAATGCACATGTGAGCTAGAGTGATGTTGGTTTCAAGTAACTGAATACCTAAGCATGTATTAAACTAAAAGGACATCTTATTTACTTAAGAAGTTGAGATCGACTATCCCGGGAGTGGTTTGTCCATTTGTGATAGCACAAGTACTCAGGCCCTGCCATCTTCAGTGTGTGGTAGTGTTTCCCCGCGAAGTGGGCGGTAAAGCTCCTGCTAAAGATGTTGGGGTGCATCACCCAGATCTCCCTTGGGACCAAAGCACTCGGATGCCAGAAGTGTTTTCCTTTGATGGCTTCTAGGTTGAAAAGGAATTCCCCTGCCCAGGAATTGCCCTTGGCTAAAGGAAGCTGTCTCACCCAAGTTTATACCCACTCCCCTGCTAGGCATTGTGGGAGATCCAAAATCCTTACCCCCTTGCCTCAGCTGAGACAAGTCTGCAGGGACACTTAGGCTCCAGAGCTCCTGACTGGCCGAGGCCTCTGTTGCAACTGCATCGCAGTTCAGCTTCTCCCTCTGCCCAGCCCTGCTTCCCTCACTGCTCATAGGCGCTGTTCCAGAGAACACTCCTCAGTCAACCTCCTGCATGAAAATCTCAGGGTCTCACTGTGTGTTTTGTGGGCAAGCCAGCCTGGGATACCAGGAGTAGTTCCAGGAAGGAGACTCTACGATGGGCGTTTTGGAACTGGACCACTCACTGGCCAGCTGGCAATGAAGCCATGAAATGAGGTCATGCGATTGTTAAAACTCTCACCAGAGGTGAACTGGAAGGGGACACTGGAGGAAGGGAATACACTGGCAGAGGCAAAAGCTTAGATGCTTGAGAGGTTTGGGAGAAATAATTATTACTAAGACTATGGAATTTGGATGGGCGTGGCTGGGGACCATTAAAGCAGTTAGAAAGAATTAAAAGCTGTGAATGATTAAGAACGAATATAAAGCAAAGCATGAAAGTGAGAGGACCTCCTTGGCAGCATACAGGGTGGGGAAAAAGTAGGTTTACAGAGTTCGTACAGAAAATAGTACAATAATTAATAAATAATAATACAAGAATAAACTGTTTCACATACTCACAACTGTAAACCTACTTTTGCCCCACCCCATATAAACAGACACTATGGCCAGATGTCAGAAAAAAATCTTAGGATCAAGCCCAGGATTTACTATGAAAATAGTGGAGTTCCAAGAAAGATTAAGTTCTCAACTCTGACAGATCTCCACACCGAGGTCAGGGTCCTGACTGA